ACCTCAAGTTGGCGTCGGGCGCCGACTCACCGTGTGTCTCGTGTGTCAGCGGGAACCTGGCGCGGCACACCTTCCCCGACCAGGGCTCCGTCGCCAACGACGTGCTGGCCGTCGTGAACATCGACCTGTGCGGACCATTTCGAGTGGCTGCCAAGAATGGCAGCCTGTACTTCTTGCTGCTGAAGGACCGCAAGACCCGCTATGTATGGGTGAGGACGGTCGCCAAGAAGTCGGATGCGCTGCAGGAATTCGTGCAGTGGCTGGCGGTTGCTGAGCGGCAGACGAAGAAGTTAGTGTTGATGCTGCGTTCTGACCAAGGAGGGGAGTTCCTTGGGAAGCAGTTCACCGACTTCGTGAACGACAAGGGGATTGTCCACGACCTGACATGCTCATACACTCCGCAGCAGAACGACATGGCGGAGCAGGAGATGAGGACGGTGGTGGAGTCGGTGCGGACGATGCTGCTGCACATGGGCGTGCAGCACCACTGGTGGCACCTTGCTCTGCGGCAAGCCGTCTGGGTCCGCAACTGCCTGGAGAGGTTGACACTGCCACCGAGGACAGCACCGTACCAGCTGCTCACCGGCAAGCCTGACTTGTCGCTGGTGCGCGTGTGGGGCTGCATGGCGCAGTTCCTCGTCCCCGAGCAGCAGCGGGGTGGGAAGCTGAAGCCGAAGGCCAAATGGGGCCTTCATCTCGGCGTGTCGGAGGAGAGCAAGGGCTGGGAACTTCTCGACATCACCGACAACCGGGTGGTCACCACGTCGGACGTGGTGTTCTACGAGACGATGTCGCTAGAGGTGTGTAAGTCGGAGCACAGCCCGGCGTCGGGGCGGACGCCTGTCCACCCGCCGACGGACACTTCGACGGCGACGCTGCCTTTGCTCGCCGAGGTCGGTGAGCTTGCTGATGAGGACGCCGAGGTCGTCCGTCCTTCTTCCCCTCCTCCTGCACCCCCTGCCCCTCCCCTCGTGGCCGACCTCAGCGCGCTGACTCCGGTGTCGGCCTCCGGCGATGAGGGGAGAAGTGGGACGTCGCCTTCAGCACCGGCCAAGAGCATCACCGGTGCTCGACGTGATGAGCAGCAAGTCAACGTAGGTGTGAAGTCGACATTGATAGGGGAGGAGTAGGCCGAGGAGGTGCAGCCGACTTGGGTGAAGTCGGCGAAGAAGGCACCAGCAGGGCAGCAGCCGACAAGGGAGCAGGCAGCGGTGAAGCCGACCATGGAGCAATCAGCAACCAGGCAGTTGGAAGAGGAGCCGACCAAAGGGGAGAAGTCGGCAGAGACGTCGACCGCGGTAGTGCAGCAGGACGCTGAAGGCAACGTCGACAGTGACGAAGGGGAGGACGCGGAGGAGTCCACCAACAGCGATGTGGTGGAGGTTCAGCCTGGACCTCGGACGTCAGGCCGACTTCGGAGGCCACCCGACTTCTTCGTCCCCGCTGCCTTTACTACGGTATACGACGTGGACGACGACGACCTGGCATACGACGACACCGAGGACGATGAGGAGTTTCTAGAGCTTGACCCCGACATGCATGCAGACCCCGAGCAACGTTGGGACATCTCGACGATGACGGTGCATTGGCAAGCTAGAAGGGCGCGGCGGTGAAAGCCGCCATGGAGGAGGGGATCCGCAGCCTCATCAACATGAGCACGTGGGAGCTGGTCGAACGCCCACCCGGGGTGAACACCATGAAGAGCCGGTGGGTGCTGACGACGAAGTACCACATCGACGACACTGTCGAGCGCGAGAAGGCAAGGCTGGTCGTGAAGGGCTTCACACAGGTGTATGGCGCCGACTACGACGAGACATTCGCGCCGGTGGGCAGCTACGTCATGCTGAGGATTTTCCTCAGCATCGTTGTCGTCCTCAACCTCAACCTGATGCAGCTCGACATGAAAAACACCTTCCTGCAAAGCAAGCTCGACCGGGTGCTCTACATGTACCAGCCGGACTACTTCAACGACAGGACTGGCCAGGTGTATAAGCTGCTGAAGAGCCTCTACGGGCTGAAGTAGTCGCCGATGTTGTGGTATAAGGCGCTCAACGACGTGTTGGCAGGCGCCGGGTGGAAGAAGAGCCAGGTCGACAAGGCTCTGTACTTCAAGGTCGGCGCGGACGACGTGGCCTGCTGGATGCTGGTCTACGTCGACGACCTGCTCGCCGCGAGTAGCAGCCCCGCAATGCTGAAGGAGGTACTAGAGGCCGCCTTCGAGCTGCGGGAGATCTCGCCGGTGCAGAAGTACCTTGGGCTAGAGATCGCGCACGACACGTCGGCGAGGAAGCTGTGGCTGCACCAACGGGACTACGCTGACAAGCTGCGTAGGCGGTTCCTCGACGAGGAGCACACCAGGCGCACCCAAAAGACGCCGGTCTCGGTCGACGCCTACGCCGAGCTCACCTACGACGACGAGGAGGTGCAGGAGCGCCAGGAGGAGGAGTACTGGCAGAAGGTCGGCTCGCTACAGTTTGCGGCGACGACGACGAGACTGGACATCGCCTTCGCCTGCAGCAAGCTGGGAAGCGGCCTCACGGTGAGGAGCGACCAGCACTGGCGCGAGGTCGATCGCTGCCTCGCCTACCTCGCCAACACCCGTGACACCGCCCTGGAGTTCGGCAGTGGACCTGAGTCGCTGGAGCTGATCGGCTACGTGGACGCCCACGATGCCGGTGACAAGCCGAAGAGGACGAGCACGGGAGGCTACATGTTTGTCTACGGAGGGGCTGCAGTCTCCTGGTCGAGCCAGCGCATCAAATGTGAGATGAAGTCGTCGACCGAGTCGGAATACGTGGCGGCCACCAAAGCCGGCAAGGAGGAACGCCGCCTTCGCTTCCTCCTTGCAGAGTTCCGGCAGCTGGATGCCGGGAAGCTGACCGTCCTCCGGGTGGACAACAAGTCGGCCATCACGGTCGCCGAGGGCATGGGGCTGACGGGCAACCTCAAGCACATGGAGCGGCGACAGGCCTGGGTGCAGCACATGGTGAAGCGCGGGAAGTTTTCGCTGAAATACATCCCGGCCCCTGAACAGCCAGCCGACTTCCTGACGAAGGTGCTGCACTATCCGGCCTCCAACCCGTGCTCCGTTGCAATTGGCCAGGTGCGCTTGGCCAACGTGGGCGACGACGACGACGACGCGCAGCAGTAGGTGCCATGCCCTCTAGCATGGCCGGTGCGGTGATCGGCGTGCTGTATGTTGGGTGCACGCTGACGGCCATTCTCCGAAGAGTTTTATCGTGTGGGCTGAAGGCCCAAGCGTGAACGCGGCAGGGGAGTGTCAACGGGAGTTGGGTGTGGCCCCGTCCTCGCTTGGGCGGAGCCGACCTCGTGGTCCAGTGTACGGGGGAGTGCAGTCGACTGACAGCACTGGGCGTGCTGGTCGACGAGGAGGTCGACCTGCACGGGGGCCACTGCGACGGGCGCCAACTTCTGGGCGCCTGGTTTGGGGTGGTCGACGAAGGTGGGGCCGACGTCGACCTCGATAGGGGAGACTGGGGACGTCGAGCTGGAGGGCGTCGAGGAGCAGGACGCCAAGCAGCTGGACGTCGAGCAGCAAGGCACCGAGGTGGAGGGCGCCAACATTGGGTGGCCGACGACTTGGCGGAGTCGGCGGCCTAGTCCCGAAGTGGTCGACATGGGGACGCCGACTAGGGAGGACGCCGACCTGACGGCATCAGCCTGGTTACCCAGTCACCCGTGTTACCCGGGCGACAGACTTCTCCGGGAGCATGCGAAGGTCGTCGGGATGGTTCTGTGAGGCCAACCTCGGAAGTGGTATCCCGAGGTCGACGTGGCTGGTGGGTGCAGTCGCTGGCGTGGAGTCAACCTGGGCGTCTGCGCCGTGCACGTGACGAGGAGTGGTGCACCAACCAGCTGCGCGCACCTGCGAAGCAGGTGCATCGTTGCCCTGCCGGTGCAACGCTGTGTAGCCGACTTGCTGCAGCATTGGCACACCGTGGATTTGCAACGTTGGCAAGCCGCGACTTTGCTCTGCTGGAACGCGGTCGACCAAGCCGTGCTGGCACGCGGTCGACCATGCTGCGCTGGAAGTCAACCAGCAGCTTTGCTGGGTCTGATATAGGCTTGCATGCCAATGTTGTTGCTACCATTGTTGTCGACCTTCCTTAGTGAAACTCATGCCAATTTGCCCCGTGATCTAGCAAGCAGTGTGTGCACTAGGAAAACAACTAAGGAACGCAGAGATCACACGAGCACCCGTACCTAGCCCGTGGTCTAGCTCTCGTTGATAGACTTATCTCCGGAGGGGGAGCTGATGACCATCTTGCTTCTTAGCTATGACATGGAGTGGCCCGAGTTACTAAGGAGGTGGGATGCTTCCAAGAAGCGCAGGCCTGCCAAAGATGTGCTGATGGCTTCCGGGGAGAGACAGAGCAAGCGCGCGAAGCAGAATCTGCAGCTTGAGAAGCAGCCCTAGCAGCATAAGCTGCAAGGCTGGATTCAGAATACCCCCGGCTTAGTCGGGAAGATAAGGGAAAAGTCCTTGACCCTTTTGTGGAAAGCAAGGATGACAGTGATGACGAAGACAGCGGCGGCAATGACTCTGACTAGGTTGATAGTTGTCTAGGATGTGCTAACTGCTTAACATTTGTTGATAGATGTATGGCATAGTTAGGCTAAGTAGGAAATTCTAAGTATTATCACTTTGTAGTAGGTTCAGACTAGAGAACTTTTTTTGTTTGATGGATCAGACTGAGTAAATTTTTTCGTCTTTAAATTCAGACAACAGAAAATTGGTCATCTTGGCGTCAGACAGAAATATATATACATATATATTACTTTCAGAGAGGCCCAAAACCTAGCAGGAGCCTTGGTTGGAGTGTAAGAGTGTATTCCAATCCTCGTATCAAGCGAACCTCATATCAAGCTCACACTGAAAGTTCCCCTATACCCAAAACCTCTCGCTAGTTTTACTATGCAAAAAGTACAATCTTGATACGAGGTGGCCTAATATGAGGCCGTAGGGATACACTCTAAGTATGTGCTGTGATAATATTTGTAAGGACGGGGTCAGGATTCAGGAAAGCATGGCAAGGCAACAGGCTCAATGGCAAGTTTGCGTGAATTGCGGCAGCCAATGTAAAACTTAGTACACGTTGCAATTTGGCACTCCAAGTAGTCCCTACGATATCAGGAATTTTTCCTTGAAATTCCTGATTTTCAGCCTAGTTTTGTGTACCTACACTGATTTTTCAGTGTTGAGATTTTTGTGACACTGATTTTTTCAGCCTCCATTTCATAGCTAGCACTGATTTTTCAGACTTTAATCGAAGTGTACACTGAATGCACATTCCGAATCCTTTTTGTGAAACAGTTTACAGAAAAAGACACTAAAGGCTGACAAAATGAACTGTCTCAGTGGTTAGCGAGATTGATACCGGGTGGTAAGGTTCCCGATTCGAATTCCTCGTGTGTCGTGGTTTGTATAGGCTACTCTCATACAAATGCGTAATGTGATTGGAATTTCAGGCTTTTGTTTTTAGAAACCCTGAAAATTCAGGCTTTTCCTTTTAGGAACCCTGAAAATTCAGGCTTTTTTTCACAGGGACCCTGATGCATCAACGTCCCTAAAAGTGAATCTGAGGGCCTGGCTCCAAGTTTCTTACACTTGTTAAAGCCAGCAGCTAAAATAGTGAACCCCATTCCTCTTGAAAAATGTGTTATGAAACCAGTCTGACAAACACTGTTTCCGTCGCAATCGCCCTCGCGATCTCCTCTCACATCCCGTCGCCATTCCTCTCCCACATCCCTTCCTCTCTCGTTGCCCTTCCTCACTCCTGTCGCCAGTTCGCCATCCCATCGCCCTTCCTCTCTCTCGCTGCCCTTCATGTCTTCCGTCGCCCTTCCTCTCCCGTCGCCCTTCTTCTCTCTCCTCCCGCCACCCTCGCGTCTCATCGCGATCGCGTTCCCAACGCACTCCCGTCACCCTCCGTCCCGCCTTTCGTAAATTATTACCTCCCCTCGCGTCGTTCCTCTTCTCTTCCCTCCCCTCCCGTCGATCCCTCGATCCCGTGCCCTCGCTCTCTCCCTTCCCTTTCCGTCGCCCTCGCTCTCTTCCCTCCCTTTCCGCCGCCCTCGTTCTCTCCCCTCCCTTTCCGTTGCCCTTGTTCTCTCTCATCCCTTTCCGTCGCCCTCGTTCTCCCCCCTCCCTTTCCGCTGCCCTCGTTACCTCCCCTCCTTTCCGACGCCCTTGTTCTCTCCCCTCCCTTTCCGCCGCTCTCGTTCTCTCCCCTCCCTTTCCGTCGCCCTCGTTCTCTCCCCTCCCTTTCCGTCGCCCTTGCTTTCTCCCCTCCTTTTCCGTCGCCCTCGTTCTCTCCCCTCCCTTTCCGTCGTCCTTGCTATCTCCCCTAGCATTCCGGGAATTTTTCTCACGCATCTCTCATCGCGTCCTCGTTTCTATTGCGCTATTTGTCTCTTGTCGAGACTGTTGGAAAAAAGTAACTTAACGCTTCTGATGTGTCAGAACATCGAACTGTAAACGAAGCAACGGCGAGTCAGCCATCGGAGGTTGACAAGAGAAGTAACCGCTGGAGGTTACGCGAAGGTCAAAGGTCAGGAACCTTTGACTTAACAAATACAGCCGACAGCAAGGACAAATAACTGACTCGATTCTGAGCAGTTGCCCGAGTCGTCACTGTATCGAACCGCAATAGCAACAGTAAAACAATTATTAGTTGCACCCTTTCATACGGTATTCCTTGTAATCTTTTAAAAGGCTTGTATTACTTTTCCATAATGAATCTATCTTGCCCTCACATACCAGCGCAATTACAATATTTCTACTCAGAATTTAGCCTTGCAAAGATCCTAAGGGCTTTTTCTCGGCCCAACAGAGACACCTTGAAATTCTCTGTTATACGCCTCTTGTTTTTCACATGTTGTTATTGCCGCCCTAGCAGGCCCATGTCTAAGGCCTTTGCTTTGCATGAGTTGGACTTGCTTTGCACGAGTTGGACTTGCTTTGCACGAGTTGGACTTGCTTTGCACGAGTTGGACTTGCTTTGCACGAGTTGGACTTGCTTTGCACGAGTTGGACTTGCTTTGCACGAGTTGGACATGCTTCACGATGTGAATTCGGCACTGATGAATGCAATTGAGATTCGCACGTCACAAACTTTCAAGCGACACATTTGCACATGCTTCCCATGATTTTTTGTAGTATCATATGGGGCTGGAAAAAAAATACAAAACATTACTTCAACTTTCTAGTGGACCCAACTAGAAGGGGGGGGTCACTATTTTAGCTGCTGGCTTAACATAGACACGGTTCATGTATCACTAACCCTTGCGACGCTTACTCAATGGACATGTCAAGGTCCAAATGTACCCTCAATATACTCGATTACACTGTATGATTAATGTTATTATTAGAAAGGTTATGCAGCTCGTGCAATAACTTGCTCGACCTCCTCCTTGGTGTACAGATGGTATGTCGGTGCAACTTTTGCGATGTCTACATTCGTAGCTGACACCTGCAGGTAAAAAAGCACGCGGAAAAGAAAGCTCAAGGAAAGATAACATTAAATCAAAGGCGAGATCATGTAACAAGCATTAGGAGCTTGGAGAATACGAGAGCATGTAACACTTGCACCACACATGGAGCTTAGAAAGGACGTAACTCCACCATCTCTCGCCCTCCCAACCTTCCCCTCCCAGCCTTCTCTTCCTCCATTGCCCTCCATATTCTCCCCCCTCCCCCGCCCCCCCCGCCCTTCTTTCTCCAAATGCCCACCCCACCTTCTCATCCTGCCTTCCCCCATCCCCTGCCCACCCTACCTTCTCTTCCATGACTTGCTTGAGAGTAGACAGTGCGAGCGTCTCTGCCTCCTCCAGGCTGCTCATGTTATGCACATCGTTACGTGCCCTCCCTACCTTCTCTCCCCTCCCCTGCCCGCCCTACCTTCTCTTCCATGACTTGCTTGAGAGTAGACAGCGGAAGCGTCTCTGCTTCCTCCAGGCTCATGTCCTGTCACACATGGTCACATACCTTCCCTACCCTACTTTCTTGTCCTTCCTTCTCCCTCCCGTGCCCTCCCTACCTTCTCTCCACTCGTGTGCCCTGCCTATGTTCTCTCCCCTTTCCTGCCCGTCCTACCTTCTCTTCCATGACTTGCTTAAGAGTGGACAGTGCCAGCGTCTCTGCTTCCTCCAGGCTCATGTCCTGCCCCACATGACATGGCCACACACATGACATGGTCACACACATGACACGGTCACACCCATGACACAGTCACACACATGACAAGGTCACACACATGACACGGTCACACCTATGACACGGTCACACCTATGACACTGGTCACACCCATGACATGGTCACACACATGACATGGTCACACACATGACATGGTCACACACATGACATGGTCACACACATGACATGGCCACACACATGACATGGTCACACACATGACATGGTCACACACATGACATGGTCACACACATGACATGGCCACACACATGACATGGTCACACACATGACATGGTCACACACATGACATGGTCACACACATGACATGGTCACACACATGACATGGCCACACACATGACATGGTCACACACATGACATGGTCACACACATGACATGGTCACACACATGACACGGTCACACACATGACAGGGTCACACACATGACACGGTCACACCTATGACACGGTCACACCCATGACACGGTCACACACATGACATGGTCACACACATGACATGGTCACACATGACATGGTCACACATATGACATGGTCACACACATAACATGGCCACACACATGACATGGCCACACAAATGACATGGTCACACACATGACATGGTCACACACATGACATGGTCACACACATGACACGGTCACACCCATGACACGGTCACACACATGACATGGTCACACACATGACATGGTCACACACATGACATGGCCACACACATGACATGGTCACACACATGACATGGCCACACACATGACGTCGTCACACACATGACATGGTCACACACATGCGTACACACATGGTAGGTTGGCCTGAGCACCCTCAGTGCCAGCAACAATGGCCTTGGCGTCATAATGACAGTGAGCTTACATAGGGGCTATTTCGCAGCCAAATGGAAACAAAACGAATAATGGTTCACAGCACAGCACGCACTCACCTTGTTGTAGCTGTCCTGTAGGTTCGCCTGTGCGCCCTCAGTGCCGGCCCCAATGGCCTTGGCATCGTAACGCACGAACGTGCCTGATGGATCCGTGTGGTACCTGGTGCAAGCAGGGAGAAGGGTGGGGGCAACGGGAGGCCAAAGAGTGGCATTCCAATCAGTAACAGCACCCTCAGTGCCAGCCCCAATGGCCTTGGCATCGTAACGCACGAACGTGCCTGATGGATCCGTGTGGTACCTGGTGCAAGCAGGGAGAAGGGTGGGGGCAACGGGAGGCCAAAGAGTGGCATTCCAATCAGTAACAGCACCCTCAGTGCCAGCCCCAATGGCCTTGGCATCGTAACGCACGAACGTGCCTGATGGATCCGTGTGGTACCTGGTGCAAGCAGGGAGAAGGGTGGGGGCAACGGGAGGCCAAAGAGTGGCATTCCAATCAGTAACAGCACCCTCAGTGCCAGCCCCAATGGCCTTGGCATCGTAACGCACGAACGTGCCTGATGGATCCGTGTGGTACCTGGTGCAAGCAGGGAGAAGGGTGGGGGCAACGGGAGGCCAAAGAGTGGCATTCCAATCAGTAACAGCACCCTCAGTGCCAGCCCCAATGGCCTTGGCATCGTAACGCACGAACGTGCCTGATGGATCCGTGTGGTACCTGGTGCAAGCAGGGAGAAGGGTGGGGGCAATGGGAGGCCAAAGAGTGGCATTCCAATCAGTAACAGCACCCTCAGTGCCAGCCCCAATGGCCTTGGCATCGTAACGCACGAACGTGCCTGATGGATCCGTGTGGTACCTGGTGCAAGCAGGGAGAAGGGTGGGGGCAATGGGAGGCCAAAGAGTGGCATTCCAATCAGTAACAGCACCCTCAGTGCCAGCCCCAATGGCCTTGGCATCGTAACGCACGAACGTGCCTGATGGATCCGTGTGGTACCTGGTGCAAGCAGGGAGAAGGGTGGGGGCAATGGGAGGCCAAAGAGTGGCATTCCAATCAGTAACAGCACCCTCAGTGCCAGCCCCAATGGCCTTGGCATCGTAGCGCACAAACGTGCTTGAAGGGTCCGTGTGGTACCTGGTGCGAACAGGGTTGGGGGGGGAGGGAGGGGTAAGGGGGGTGGTAGCGGGGGAAGAACATGTTGGGTGGGGTCTTGCCCCCCAATGGCCTTGGCACGTGCTTGAAGGGTCCGTGTGGTACCTGTGTAAGGAGGGGGGAATAGCATGGGGAGAGCATGGTGTGAGGGTTGATAGTATGGGGAGAGAATGTGGGAACAATGACAGCCCCAATGGTGTTGGCATTTTAGCGCAGGAACGTGCTTGATGGGTCCTTGTGGTACCTGGTGTGTGTAAGGGGGTTGTGAGGCGGAGAACATGTTGAGTGGGGAGTGATTTTCCCCAAACTGGCCTTGGCATCGTGACGAACAAACATGCCGGATGGGATTCGTGTGGCACCAGGTGCATGCAAGGGGGGGCAGCATGTGGCGCACGTGGTGAGGAGGCATGAAAGTAAGTTTGAGGACAGCACGAGTGGCAATAGCAGCTCCAGTGGCCCTGGCATCATAGCGCACACCCTGAAGGATCCGTGTGGTAGTACCTGGTGGGCAGAAGAGGAATAGCATTGGTGCACATGGTGAGGACGTGTGAGAGTATGGGAATAACACTTTAATGGCCTCGGATTATTAGCACCTGCACGTGTTTGATGGGTCCGTGGTCAAAGCTTGTGAGCAAGAGAGTCGTACTACAAGTCTTGACTACAAGGAATTTTTATTCGTACAAACAAAAAAGAACGACAGACAAGAAACGTGCACGTGGACAAATGCACGTACAAAGGCTGATTATATGTGCACTGCACTGCACATGCATGTTGAAACGCACATCCATTCACAACGGCACACTCATGTGCGATTATCCATGCACACAGGCAAATGCATGCAAGTGGACACACTACCTTCAGGGAAAGACTGTACTTGTGAACTCCAGCGTAGCGTACTATAACAAACAAACATGAACATACAGCACATATACCACAAGAACTTGATAGGCACATGCACATGACATGCACACAAACAACATGACATGCACATGGACATATGCACATGGACATATGACGTACAGGCAAGGGCCGTATTTGTCGACTCCGGCAATCAGCAGAGCCACTCCAAATGGGCGGCTCTGATGGACCCATCAGATGGACGGGGGAGAGGGAGGGAGAGATAGTGAAG